ACAGCTTGTTATCTCAGATTCTCCAGCATCTGCAGCTCCTACTACTTCTTACCTGGTTTGGCCTACATGCAACTCTTAATTTCTCTGAAAATGACCTAGCAAGCCACTAAGTACAAGGGCAATTAGAAATGGGCAACACACCAACTCATGTCCCAAAGAATAAAGAAATATTTTCAACTCTCTTCTGATAGGAATTTTTGCATTCTCTCTTCACAAGACAAAGTTTCTCTTAAATTTCCTATTGCATTATTGACGACAAACATTTATCTCTAGTTTTAGTTTCTTCTAGAAGTTGAGATCTTTTATATGTACACTATCCAATTTCTTTGATAATATAAAGGCCTCTATTAAGCCATCCATAAGCCTTCTATTAAGGAAAAAAGCCCCTGTCTGTTCAACCTTCTAAAAGATAGAGTCTCTCATTTCTGTATCATTCCAGATGATCATTTTTGCACATTCAGTGCCTGGATATCTACTTTTAGTGGTATGTATGTCTATATTCCCAAATCTTCTGTTCCACTACTCATTAGTCAATAACTTTCCGAGGTGTATGTGGGCACTTAAACATACCTCTCAATGTTAAGGCCGACTTGCCCATTTGCACCCATCAAATTTAATAATGTTTTTCTGTGATTCATGCCAGTTCTCTTCTATGCTAACTTTCACTCCAATTAGATATCATCCTCAAATTGTAAAATACTTTCAATTTCAGACTCGATATCATTTATCGAAACAGCAGACAGTGCTCTAGAACTGAACTTGTGGAACAGCACTTGCCAACCTGAGTAACTGCATTTAAACCCCTCTCCTCATTTTGTTTTGTTATTAGCTTCTTGCGTCTGACTCCATGTTCTAACCTTAGCTTCAGTCTATGAAATTTCTTATAAAAGCATGATGGAAATCCTCTGACATTATTTACTCTAATGTTTTTTTTTTTTAAGATCGATCTTAGATAGGTGGGTCATACACACTATCCCTTTTGGAATTGGAGCTGACTCTCTGGTACTTTCAGTTTACAGGTGTTTTCTATTACACCTTTGAGTCAGGACTCCACGATCTTTCTTACCACCGTTAAGCTAAATGGACTTAGTTTTCCTCCACATGCTTTATCCTTATGTCAGAATCACATAAGCTGTCAAGTTTTAGGGCAGTATTTGCTTCTCTTACATTTCTGTAAGAGTCTCTTTTACATTTCTTCCCTAACCCCTCAAAATACACAGATGCAATCCATCTGAACCATTGATTTTAGCTTTAAGTTTGATTAGTTGGTCAATTATTTCCTTTTCTTTAAAAGAAAATCATAAATGGCTTTATATATTATTTGATTTCACAATGGGACCAGTAATGAGTGACATTGATAAGTAAATAGGGTACAAAGTTCATGAACTCAATGCAATCTAGAGAAATTAATCAGTTGAGAAAAGGTAACTAACCTATATCTCGACAAATGTTGATATACAAATCATCATCATCAGGAGAATCAACCAAATAGCCTCCTGACATCTTTATGAGCGGATTCAGATCACGTTTCTTTCCAACTTCATCAATGACATAACAAGGGACCTTAAAAAAGTTAATGTTAAGTGCACATAAATGAATAGGTTTTTAAAAAGTTCAACCAAGGAACATCTGTCACATCATGAATAATTATCTTAATTAAGATCAAAGAACTATCATAGGCAAAACAGAAACCAATGGCAATCTGATTAATACACACTTTCTGCAGTAATCCCAATTCATCACCTTCATTCTCTGGGAACTGATGCTTAGTTTCTACGTCTTCCCATCCATTGAAAAGCAATGGATGGAAAATGAGTGGAATATGCCTTCAATATTCAGATCTACCCACAAAACATGTTCAAAAATGTATCTTAATAGGGTTATTTAAATATTTTGACCATTGTTAAAGGCTTATTCACAGTGATCAATTTGAAGAGTTTGCTTCAAAATAGATAAAAGTTTGTTGGAAATCACCTTTACAGATCTCTCTGCTTCAATCTACCAATACTTCTTGAATAATCAATTGAAGCCTGCTGAACATGAACTATTAACAGCAAGCAATCTAGTGAAGGGAGTTTGTCTGCTTTCTAAACCATTACTAAAACAAACGCAACTTGCAAGCTCAATTAGCCACTGGGCATTGACCCACAATGACATTCACGGCTGTGCCATTAATAGAATTAAATGTCTGACAGTGCCGAAAAAGGTGTTTTTTAGCAAGTTAAATGCATCACTTTGGATTTAAGGTGAGAGCAGAGAAAGCACACGTGCCAGAATTTGAATGGAGAGGGACTACTGCCAAATAGTAATGCCTGGGTGGATGCAATGTTCAAGGTCTGATTACATGGGATGAAGCATAGCATGTACTCATGTTTGGAAACTCTTATTAACTTGTTTCTACGGATGTGACTAAATAAACTTACTGTGTACTGAGTTTTTTTTTTTAAATGGTCACTGACTAATTTTGTGGAGTGATAAATTAAGTAATAGGCAAGGAAACAGCAAGTAATCAAGCAGAGATGGTTGACTCTTAAGAATTGGCCATTAGAGCAGTGCAAGCTTACAAGTGGCACAAAAGGAGAGAGGGGACATTAAATCAAATATCAGGTGCTTAAGCACTGAACTGTAAATGCAGCTGCACATTTTATAAGTCATTATATTGCCAGCTATATGGATGCCCACTCACAGCAGAAGTAGCACATTAAAGAAAAATTCTCAGAGAGGGTAATGTTGAACTTGTACAAGATACTTGCCAGGTGGGGCATTATATACAGTTGAGTACATCATAGGAAAGATGTGAATGCCTTGGAGAGTGTGCAGAAGTGATTTACTGAAATGGTTTTAGGAATGAGAAACTTCAATAATGAAGACAGATTGAAGAAGTTTGGTCTGTTCTCCTGAGACAACATTTGGAAGAGGTTTTCAAAGCCATGAGCAGGCTGAATACAGTAGATAGGGAGAATCTGTTCCCACACGTAAAAGGAGCAAGAAGGAGGCAGCACAGTTTAAAGTGATAAGAGAAAAAAAACACACTCAGCAAGTAGTTAGGATATGGAACGCACTGCCTGGAAATGTGATAGAGGCAGGTTCAATTGAGACATTCAAGAGGGCAGTGGATGATTATTTCAACAGAAACAACACGCAAGGATACAGGGAAAAAGTAGCAGATTGGCACTAGGTAATGATGCTCTTTTGAAGGCACAGACACAATGGGCCAAATGACCTCTTGCGCCATAACAATTTTGAGATTCTGTGAAATGCTATGCAGTCTGAGCTTAGGTGCATAACTTTGTAGGGTCTGTACTTCAGGTTATTCCTCACATGTGACTGTGTATAAAGTGTGAGCAAATAAACATTTTGTGCAATACAACTGACTGCAAATAATTACAAGAGACAAATGAAAAAGGAGAAAAATCAAGAACTCTAAAACATACAAGTTCATATTTTTGCTTGTGGTAAAAACTAGATACACAAAAAGAAAAATTTAACCCATCATCTCCATCATGAAAAAACTCAAACATGTTCAGAGTTATTTTAATCCTTTTCAGAAGAAGCAGATTTCTGTATTTAGATGTTTCTTACTATCGACAGAACACAATCCTCCAAGTGAAAAAACTTGCGGCCATTAAATCATCACGGGGATTGATACCAACATCTCCAATATGTCAATTTTTCTTCAACCAAGGATTCTCTTCCACCATGGAGGGCAGATTGTCACAATCCTGAATTTCTACTCCAAATCTTCTCTTCTTTCACACCAACAGCCAATATAAGTTCCCTTGCACCCAACCTTACACTTCACGCATCTCCATTTTCAACAGATCAATTCCTGCTCTTTCCACCACCTTCAATGATGTCACCAAACACATTTTCCCCTTTCTTCAGCAATAGCCTAGCCTATTCCTTAGTTATCTCCAACGACCTCTCTTTTCTCCATGTCATTTTTCCATGCAAACACAGAAGATGGAACAGCTGCTCTGTTACCCCCTCTGTTATTTTTTCCTTTTGATTCGTTGCTTGGTTTTGGTCAGCAGCTGCTCATGATTCTCGTCAAAATTCCTCTACCCACATCCTTTGATCCTTTCCTATCCCATTACCTTTGGTCTTGCAGTTTTAATTCTTTTGGTAATTTAACTACACCGTCTTTCACAAACCAGACCTTCTACTTTTGTTCTTTATTTGCACCTGCCACTTTCAATTTGCTGAAAACTAGTTATATATCCAACTTTTGCAATTCCAATAAAAGATCATTAACCTGAAAGTTGCTTCTATCCAGAGAAACTGCCTGACCTGGGTATTTCCAGCAGCTTGTTTTTAAGACAATAACATTATTTATCCAATTCAAAATGTGAAAGGCTTTCCATTGTAAGTATTCACCCTTATAGTGTGGTAAGAACCTAAGCAGCACTGGACTGAACAACACAAGTTGGATGACTAGAAAATCTGATAGAAGTCAAACCTTTTCTCACTGATTTTTATTTCAATATTCTACTAAACACGCAGTTACTGAATCAAAGTACACTTTTAGCTGTTTGGCAGGATGCAGGTGAACCTCTCTTGTCGGTGGTGGGCTTATTGTTTTCCAAAACAAAGCTGAGCAGTACATCTGAAAATTGCTTATTCCAGGCTGAAGAACCATAAACCTTAACAATATTCTAGGTATGCGGACACGTGGAATTCAACAGTACTGTTGGAGGAGTTACAAACTATAAGTGGGTAATGCTACTTTCATACTGGAAAACAGCTGCTACAGCTGCATCTACTACATACATTTTCATTAATAAAATGCCCACTTAGAGCACCAATTTCAAATCTTCCAATTCATTTTACTGCTAGTTAGCATCATGGTCCTTATAGACAACAGCCTGGACAATAACCTACTATCACATGTATTCAAGAGTACATATTTTGGAGGGGCATAGGGGAGGGTAAGGGAGAAACGAGTGAGCTGGATATTTCATTCACCATTGCAAGAAAGAGTTTCAGACATTAGCTCCATGAACATACGCCCTGAAGTAAAACCATGTGACTACTGTATGAATTAACAAGTAGGACAACAGAAGAACATGTTTGCAAAAACTTAACATACAAAGTAACTTAAAAATAGCAATTTGAACCATGGAGGCGTTAAATAGTTTTAACTTATTTAATACTTCATTCATTATGTCCTTCCTTCAACAGCTGATCAGAAAAGAGGATGGGTTATGGTGCTGCAAGCGAAGACAAGAGGATTCTGTGCAGAGTATTATCTCAAATCCTCATGTTGCAAATTCAGAGTTTGGAATGTTCTGAGAGAAGGCACACAAAAGAACAAACAAAACCAGACTATAATAATTATCCTGAACCTGCAGGATTGGAAAATATAATAAGCACATTTTAAATTAAAAATTACATTTTAAAAATACTATAGGCAATTGCTCCATCTGCACTTACACCTCAACCTGATAACTGAAGTGAGAAATAAAACTGATCAGCAATAACAAAGGGTCCTCATGCCCAAAAGCTTTCTGAACTAACTTATTAAACAAACCAAGGTTCAGACTCAGCCATTCACTACAATGAGCTTAAAATAGTGCTATTTTGTTAGTTCACAAATACTCAAAAATGTTGCAGTCAACATAAATAGGAATACATTCAATTCAATCACATTTACTTAACACCAGTATGAATAGTTCAGGGAGCGTTTTATTCACTCCCCTGCTAGTTATACATCATTACTTACAGTCCCAATGCGGATTTTAGCAATTCAAAATTAAACCAATATGGGCTATTTGCATTTACCTCTTTATGGGGATTGAAGGTGCTCTTCTTGCAGGCTACAAAAGTCTTCCATTCAAAGTAATGCACACATTCAGAAGTCGTCACGAATTCTGGGCTACCCTGATTAAAAAATTGGGATCAGAATTACCTAAAACTGGCAGAATGACGTTGAGTACAAAACTGCTTCCCTGGTAGCAAAATTCAATATGCATGTCAGTAATAAGTAAATAGTAAACAAATTACTTAACATCTGCAAAAGGATTACAGCAGAAATCTTTCAAAGTATGAACAGCCCTCAATAAGTGAATGGAATATTCTCCAGCAACCCTCTCCACTTTCTAAAAATCCACACCCCATCCTCCCAAAGCTTGATTTCCAATCAGGTTCTCAATCTTCTTCCACAGAAAGATATTCTTTGTCTCAATTATTTCTAGTCATTATCTGTACCCTTGCTGTGAAGTTTGTTCAAACATTTTCCATGCTAAATTAAATTGCTATATTGAGATCAAATAATTTGATGCAGGTTACTTAGTCAAGACAGTTACTGCAATTTCTAATTTGTCTAAAGAATATCAGTACTGGGGGAGAATATTTCTCACTTATTTCAAAACACAGGCCAGAATAGTCCCAGTTAAGTTCAGACCATTCACTCATCTATTGAATAAACGTAATCTTTTATTTTTCCAGCCAAACCTTTCTGATGGCTTCTGCATGAGACTAATTAGTGAATTAATTTAAAATTACAAGCAGTTGTGCATTGTGAACTCATACCAATTCAAAATTAGGTTGATAGTGCAAAACTTAATTTACAACTGAAGGCAAAATGGATGCTGGAAATTTCAAAGAAAGAAAAGTGGATAAACAAGGTCACCAACTTGAAAGAGAAGCAGAGCTAATGTTTCAAAGAATGCCAAACTTGCGGTACTGCCTCAGCATTCTGATTTTATTTAAAAACAAAATTTCATGTTGACCAATTACATTCAGGTAACAGTCAACCTGTCTGCCTTGGAGATCCTATATCTTCAATCCTAATGGAGGCAATTGGTTGCTCAACCTATTAAAAATAAACAATTGTACTTTACATTTTAGACTGCAAGGACACTAAAAGATAAAGTTTTATTAATTTCATTTCTAAACATCACTACTAAGTCATACAGCATGGAAACAGACCCTTTGGTCCAACTGGTCCACAGTGACCACGTTCCCAAAATAAACTATTCCCACCTGCCTGCATTTGGCCCAAACCTCACCTATTCATGTACTTTTCCAAATGTCTTTTAAATGTAACTGTACTTGCATCCACCACTTCCTCTGGCAGTCATTCCACACACTAAGCACTGTGCAAAAAAGTTGCTCATGTACTTTTTAAGTCTCTCTTCTCACCTTAAAAATATGCCCCCTAGTCTTGAACTCTCCCAACTTAGGGAAAAGACCTTTGCTATTCACCTCTTGATTTTATAAACCTCAAAAAGGTTGCTCCTCAACTTCCTACACTCCAGTAAAAAAAGTCTCAGCCTATCTTTATAACTCAAACCCTCCATTCCAGGCAACATCCTGGTGTATTTCTTCTGAACCGTGGAGTGTGCAGGAAACAGCCTGGCCAGTGCACCATTTGAGGGATCAGTCTTTTGTTCCTTAGAGATGGAGGAAGAGCTAATCTTTTGCAAACAGAGGCTGTATTGACATCACTAGGACCTGAAAAAGTGAGGGAAAATGAGTTATACAACTCTGCCAGAACACACTCAGAGGAGGATGGCAAGAAGAAAATAAAAAAGGGATTCATAGAGAAATTCTGAACAGCTGGAGCATCATTTGCCTACCCTACTTCATCTCCTTTTCACAATCCTTATAATGAGTATTTAAAAAAGACCACTTAAGAGCAACCCTGTCTTCAACTGACATCCACCAGTATTTCCTAGCAGCACATATACAGACAAATTTCCACCTCATCAGTCATCATGTTCCCACCCACCTTAGCACACAGACATGCATGTTGTTGGGACAGTTGAGATCAGATATCCCAACACATGCCGAATATCTGTCTGGTTTACACAACTCAGCTGCGTGATACGTGGTGCATTCACTCACTGAGCCATCAGGAGCTACTGCATTGCTTTTTTTTTTCAAAAATAGTAAAAAAAAAATCCATTACTGATGCCACGTTTTACTAAACTTCACAGAAGGAAAAGATGTGTTTAAATAAATTTGATATTCTTTAAAACTTAACTAGATTTTGAACTTCAATGCTGTACAGTTCCATTTCTACACTCAAATGTAGAGAAAAAAAAACTGCTTTTGAAGAGATACATGCAAGCTGCACATAAGCCACAAATTTTAATGAAGTTAATGAATGGAGAAAAATAAATACCTTTAGGAGAATGCAGAAAAGTAGTAATTTTTAAACTTAGCATCTCATTTCAGAAAACAGTAATACCAGCTGAGAAGTGACATGTTCTTAAAAGCTTTGAGCTTTGCACAGTCTATATTATTTTTAATGGATAAATGTAATAGCAATGGAGTATCTACATGTGACTGAGAAATAATTCAGTTCATATACAGCTGCTTTCAGTTACAGAAGATCGGTCCACTCTAATCTGAGCAAAACTAAAAGCCCTAAATTTCATATCAGGTGTTTTGTACAGGAGCCAACTGAAAAAACAGAGTATTAGTCGTTTTGTACTTAAGTGGGAGTGCTACAAATATTATGGACTTGCACACGATTGGAAAAAAAAGAATCTCACAAATAAAATCCACTATGCGGTCTCACTTAATCCCATAAATCATACAGCCTTCTGCAACGATAACCACCCTCAAACTGTTGTAAGAGAACACATTTTCCTCATTCCGGGATAGACTGGAATGGAAGTCATGTGCTACTAAATTGCTAAAAATACCAGATGAGTTGAACAACTTGAAAATTTATGTGGCTTAGTTTTTTGCTATACAACATTACATTTCTTTGGGAGTAGTGAGAATGTGATGTTATTGAGAACACCAGCAGGAGACTAAGTTAAGGAACTGCCTAATGACCTGTGCCTCAGATTAATTGAGCTGCAGCTGCTACAGACCAGCAAGGGCAATACAGCCAGAAAGCTGCAAGCAAATCCCTCCTTGTCCACTCCCCACCACCCCTTTTGAGGAGTGAAAACACAAAAAACCTAAAGAATCCAAAAAGAAAAAAATTCAAGCAAGACTTAGGTCTACCCAATCAGCTAAAAAAAAAGAAAACAAAATAACAGCATGTTCTTGGAGAGCCAGCTACAAATCTGTGACCTTTGACCGTTATACAGCAATCTGCAGGACCAGATCCACCTAGTTCACAGACAAAGTGCCTCCTCCGTTTGTCAAAAAATGGGATCACATACCAAAAAATTTACCAATCAGGTAATGAAAGATAATCTTAATCCAAGTAACCCTAAAAATGACTCATTCAGTAAAATGCATTTGAATAAGTTGAAGCATAATTTTATGCTATTAGAAAAACGACCGAATCCTTTTTTTTAAAAAAAGGAAAGCTTGTGCAATGGAAGCCATTTTTAAACTGAAATGTCATAACATTGACGGCATCGTTTTATAAGATCTGTAAGTGATACGAATGGTGTAGAATTGTCTGACAATATCCAATTTCACCATTTCATATTACTGTGCGAATGGTTTCGTGCACCACATAAATCATAAAAGGATACCAATCCACATTACCCCTTTGTGCAGATTAAGGTGGCACTCTACAGTGATCTGTACACTAAAGAAACAGCAACTTATGTGCATCATCTCCTTAACCCCAGTATGTCACAACTCATCAAAAAAAAAAAAAAAAAAATTTTGCTCCATTTGAGGTACTAGCAGGCTCTGGAAATTAATTTTTTCAGTTCATCATTGTTGCCATAGCTGGAGCCCTTTTCCATTTCTGTCATTCCAATCATCCATCACAGACCAATGGAGGCTGCAACAATGATAAGTCATTTACTGATATTTGACTGACTTTGTGCACCCAAACAGCACAAAATTCTACAATCTAATGAAGAGAAATAATCTTTTCATCTGTTCACGCTTAAAACCAGCCCTGCGAGAAAGAAAATTGCTTGAACCGCTCAGCTTCAACTCCTTAGACACATGCTTTTGAATACTTGCCAGAAATGCGTAAAGTCTCATGTGAATACTGCTTTGGTTTTTATTTCACAGATTCAAAAAGATTAATCTATTATGTAAATCCCCATCTACAATATTCACTTCCCAATTGTGCTAAGCAGCTTCTACTCATCTGAAATAGGGGAGGGTGGGAGGGGGGTAGAATTTTCACGCAAACCTTTTTGCTATTGTTTCTACACTGAAGTAGCTTTCAAAGATGAAAACAGCTGGAACACTAGCTCTTACAAGTTCAATAAAAAATATTCACGTGACATACTGATACTTTAAAAATCACAGATTAATGTTCAACAATACCTGCCTCAACATTTTACTTGAATGCTGAGCGATTTAAAAACTTTATGAAGGTGGTGATACAGCAAACCATATACTCACCAAAGTTTTGCCACATAAAAAGTTGATGCTGCTTTGGACAGTCTGATTGGAGTTCTGTTTCGTACATTTCTGGGTGGTGTTGTACTCAATATGATGTACTCCTCTGGTCCTGAATGCATAATCACCTACATTAAGCAATAGACACATTACCTAAATGGAGTCTTATGGACAGACTTAGCTACTTCCCTAACCTTCACTTACCTAGCTTCATGAAACTTAAAAATTAAATTTGGTAGCTGATGAAAGGTTCAACAAAAAGGGGTCAACTCAGCTTATTTCATTTGAAACATGCCCATTTGAGTCTTCAATAAGAATCAATACAAAAGCCAGTACTAAAGTACATTTGTGTTCAAATAAGTCTTCTCAGCTTCATTAGGCAGGTATCCCAACCTTTTGTACAAAGTGAGTCACACGACACCAGGTTATAGTCCAACAATTTTACTTGAAATCACAAGCTTTCGGAGCATAGCCCCTTCGTCAGGCGAAGTGTGAAAAAAGCACACAGACAGAATTTATGGGCAGAAAGATCAAAAGATCATACAAACGGTGCAGGTGGAGTGTTGAATAGGTCCCTGCAGGTGATCTGAAGTGTTGGACGGTGTGAGTAAAGTGTCAATGGCTGAGTAATCCGATTAATTGAGGTATATAGAAAATTACAAAAAAAATTAAAATAAGGCGGTTCTGGAGACAAACCAAACGACTGGAATAACATTGAATCAGAGATAGTAGGAACTGCAGATGCTGGAGAAATAACATGATAGGTATAACAGTCACATGCCAAGGGTCTAACCAAAATAAGAAGTAATCCAAAAACTAATTAAGGTAGAGAGATCATAATTTATGCAAGTGATGGTGACAAAAATCAGACAGTAAGGAAGATTTTAAAGATACAGAGCAGTGTGGTGAGGTCGCATGTAGCACGACATGAACCCATGATCACGGTTGAGGCCGTCTTCATGGGTGCAGAACTTGGCTATCGGCCACTGCTCGGCGATTCTGTATTGTTGTGTTTCTCGAAGGCCGCCTTGGAGGACACTTACAGAAGATTGCAAGCTGAAAATCCTTGACAGCTGAAGTGCGCCCCAGTTGGGAGGAACATTCCTGTCTGGCGATTGTTGCACAGTGTCCATTCATCCATTGTCATAGTGTCAGCATGGTCTTGCCAATATACCATGCCTTGGGGCATCCTTGCTTGCAGTATATGAGATAGACAATACTGGCCACGTCACGCGAGTATCTGCCGTGTATATGGCAGGTGGTGTTCCCATGTGTGATGGTAATACCCACGTTGATGATCTGACATGTCTTGCAGAGGTTGCAAGGGCAGGTTTGTGGTGTTGTGGTCCATGTTGTCCTGAAGGCTGGGTAGCTTGCTGTGAACAATGGTCTGTTTAAGGTTTGGTGCTTGTTTGAAGGTGATAAGTGGAGGCGCACGGATGATCTTGGCGAGATGCTCACCATCAATGACACGTTGAAGGCGGCAAAGAACATGGCATAGTCTCTCCGCTCCAGGGAGGAACTGGACCACAAAGGGTATTCTGTTGGTCATATCCTGTATCTGTCTTCTGAGGGGGTCATTGTGGTCTTTTGCTGTGCCATGTCAAAACTGGCAATCGATGAGTTGAGCATCATATCCCATTCTTGAGGACGCCCTTCAAAATCTTTAGGCGTATGTTGCATTCTTCCTCTTCCTCAGGCCTACCCCTATGGACAAGCCCTGAGCATACATAGGATCTGCTCAGATGAGGAGGAACGCCACAGACACTGAAGATTGGTTTGTAGGACACCCTCATAAGAACAGGATGCGATGCTCAACTCATTGATTGCCAGCTCCAATGTGCCACAGCAAAAGAACCACAATTATAGTTAGCTTGTACAGTTTTAGATTACTTATCACTTTGATTAGACCATAAGCATGCAACTCTTATACCTATCATGTTATTCCAGTCATCATTTGGTTTGTCTCCAGCACCACCTTATTTTCAATATTTTTGTAATTATCTTCCTGCCTCACTTAATTGGATTTTAGGTCATCACTTGGCTTGTACTCACACCATACAACTCTTTGGACCTGCACTGACTTATTATTTGACACTCCACTCGCACCATTTATACGATCTTTAGATCTCTCCGCCCATAAATTCTGTGTCCGTGCGCTTCCCTCTCATTTCACCTGACGAAGGGGCTACGCTTCGAAAGCTTGTGATTTCAAACTATAACCTGGTGTCATGTGACTTCTGGCTTTGTCTACCCCAGTCCAACACCAGCACCTCCACATCATAACTTTGTACAATATCTAGGTCACGCACAAAGTTTCCTTTTATTGTTTATACACAAGATTAAAGCAAAACAGTTTACGTTAAAGAATAAATTAGGAGAAACAGTTTTTATAAAACAAAGAGAGAGATACATATGACAAGAAAAACCGAGGAATACTCCAGTCTTGCAATATTGGTCTGCACTCAGGATTGACAGAGGAACCACATTCTGTAGCATCCTGAAACCTAGATAAAATTCACGAGCAATACGGGTTAATCAAGTACAGGCAGCCATATTTCATAACAAGTAGTTTTTAGCAAATGCAAGCAATTTTTGAAGCATACCTAATTGAATAAAGGAAATGTTGATGAGGTGCCAAGAATTTTCAGACATCTTCAGTAACATTTCACATAAAGGCAAAGGTATAATCCAAGGAGACGCAGAGGTATAGTTATGTCAGTTGACAAACTAGAAACAAGGATATGGTACATGGACATTAAGAAACAGGCAGGGGATGACGTAGCACAGAATCCAATAGTGGGTTCAAAAGACAGAAAAAGGAGGAGGGGTTTGGACCATAACGGCCACAATCTAAACTGGCAAACAGCACAGGAGCAAGGATTCAGCTTACAGCAAAGAGAGTTGATACGATCTAAGGGGAAAAAAATAGCTTAGCAGATTGGACCGAGGCAAGAAGTACAATTTTCCGTGGACTAACATTTTAGACAAACAGAAGGAAACATACATTCAAATGAAAAGACATTGAAGGATGGAAATTAAAGTGACCACAGGACCACAGAATTACAAGTAGCCCATTTAACTTTTCAACGAGATCACGGCTGATCAGGTGCTTAGGTCAACATACTCACCCTTTCACACAAGTCTTAATACTTCTAGTTAGTAGAAATCTATTAATCTCAAATTCAAAATTAACAGCTAACGCATACTTGTACCCCCTTGTGTTGAAATGTATCCTGACTATGAGGGCTTGGCTCCAATTTATAATTCTACATTCCCTATTTCTGGTGATCCCAACCAGAAATCGTTTCTCTCCATGTAACACAATACTGCCCCTTAATTTGTGAACAAATTTTAACAGCGTCACCACTCAAAACACGCACCCCGAGGGATAGTAGAGTTTTAAATCACCACACAATTCCTTAAAAACAGAAACAGATAAACAAAGCCCTAAAGACTGACCACAAAGTTCAACACACTATACAAATCGACAAACTCCCACAGCTATCCTGACCACACTTTCTCAAACTCACTCCAATTACCCACTTTCAACGGTGTATATCATTACAAAGTTGAGTAGAGTATTGATGAATTGGAAGGCAGGAAGTTAGAATTTGTTGGTAAAAATGATCGTGGGGAAGAGAGTGTGCCATGGTCCCTTAAACAGCTTGTGCTTCGTCTGTGCTTGGAAGTTTATAAATGCAGGTGCACAGAGAGTGCCCGAACGGAAACATTTTGTATAGCAACAAAAACAGAAGTTGCTGGACAAGCTCAGCAGGTCTGGCAGCATCTGTGAAGAAAAAAAAAATTCAGTTAACTTTTCAGGTCTGGCAACCCTTCCTCGAGGATGTTTACTGATTATTTTTTTCTTCACAGATGCTGCCAGACCTGCTGAGCTTTTCTAGCAACTTCTGTTTTTGTTCCTGATTCACAGCATCCACAGTTCTTTTGATTTTAACATTTTGTATAGAACAGCCAAACAGCATTTTTCCAAGACAAGTTTGAATGTGGCCAATTAATTTAAACAAAGCACCTAGATTCAGAAAGCCAACTGAATCGAAATCTGATGGTGTTGAGAATTAAATTCTTATTTGATTGGTTTCAGGTTATGTCATTACAGGTATATAAGGCGAAGGCATTTGGAAAATTGGGAAGAGCCAACTGCTATCTGAAAAGAGAGAGACAACTGCCACTTGCCAGAGTTAGCAGCATTCAGCTCTGACAAAGAACATCTAATTAAACAAAAGGTACCACAGTATTTTAGCTCGAAGTCCTCTCAGAAATAAGAGAGAATCAGCGGGAGAAAGGAGTTTGTGAAGAGACCGGAGACTACTGTCTTCTGGGATATTCTGTCTCCCCCCACGTTCGCACAGACCAAGTTATAATTGATTGCTTATTAATTAGGTTTATATTAGTGGGACTTGTATTATTTAAACAGCATTCCAGTTGAATTTAGACCAGTTAGGGAGCAGGTAGTACAAAAGGGGGAAAAATTGTTCGGTTTGTTACTATCTCTTTTTAAATGTATTCATTAAGGTTAACATGTAAATAAATAAATAGTTATCTATTATTTATAAAGTGGATTAGGGATTTCCTTTCCTTTAACCATTAATTTAACAGATCACAATGGGAAAGGAGAGCTTCTCTGGGTATTTTGGGAGTAGCTATCAGAAGGGAACCTCCACTCCCACACCTGTAAATTGGGGCTTGTGTCAGTTTTAGTATCAGAGGGCTTTGGCCATTCCCCCTCCATAACAACATGTTGAGGGACACAACTTTCATTGCCAGTACATCAGATTCCTTTTCCTTCAATTAAGGATTCACTCCGCTCCAGAGCAAGAGGCAAGTGGGATAGGATAAAAAGCATGGATTAAGAGGTCTGCTTGTGGCAACATTAGTGGCAGAGTAACATCACAGACTACATTAAGTACAGTGAAAGCTGACTGTGAATAGGGTTGTTGAATATCTCTAGTATGTCATTTAACAGCAAGGTCTTTAGTTTGTGTGAGCTCTCCACTAATAATTTTTAAGAGAAAAATAAACAAACTAAATATCATTACAATAAATCACAGCAGGGAATCGCAAGTGATAAATTTGAGTTCAATCAAATATGATTGCAATGATAGGA